CTGTGCAGTACGATGAGGCTAGCCTGGGAGCTGTGCAGTGCGATGAGGCTAGCCTGGGAGCTGTGCAGTGCGATGGGGCTAGCCTGGGAGCTGTGCAGTGCGATGGGGCTAGCCTGGGAGCTGTGCAGTGCGATGGGGCTAGCCTGGGAGTTGTGCAGTGCGATGAGGCTAGCCTGGGAGCTGTGCAGTGCGATGGGGCTAGCCTGGGAGCTGTGCAGTGCAGAGTCACTTGCAATAGACTAAGAGCTGGGTGTAGTCGGTCGTGGCTATAATCCCAGCACTTGGAAGACTGAGGCAGGGGTCTGCTGTGAGTTCAAGGATAGCCTAGGCTCTAAAAAGACCTTCTCTGAAGCCGGGCGATGGTGGCACACGCCTTTAATCCCAGCACTCGGGAGGCAGAGGCAGGGGGATCTCTGTGAGTTCGAGACCAGCCTGATCTACAGAGCTAGCTCCAGGACAGGCTCCAAAACCACAGAGAAACCCTGTCTCGGGGAAAAAAAAAAAAGACCTTCTCTGAAGAAAACAGAACGGGGGAGAATTGGCTCAGTGGTTAAGAGTACTTGCTATACAAAACTGAGAACTGGATTTAGAATCTTAGTACCCAAGTAACAAGTCTAGTGTCTGTCACATGCTGTAACTGACGTTAAAGGAGATTGCTCCCTTGTAGCCTGGAAAATTCTAGCTTTGAGGCAACAGGCAGAAAGGACACCTGCTGCCCTCTTCTGGCTGCTGAGTACATGCACAGGCTTACACACTGCATGCTCACACATGTGTACACGTAACACACTGACATATACATATACAGTAGAAGTAAATAGTTTTTTGGTGTTTTTTTTGTTGTTGTTGTTTGTTCGTTTTATTTTGTTTTAAAAGTTTTTAACTTTTCAAGGCAGGGTCTCTCCACACAGCACTGCTCTCCTGTAGACCAGGCTAGTCTAGAAGGCTCTGCCGGAGTTAACAGCTTGTGTCACCACATCCTGCAACCACCCCCAGCAATACACTTCCTCCAGCAAGGCCACGCCTCCCACATACTCCCTGGGGTCCAAGGATCCAGATCTCTGAGCCTATGGGGACCATTCTTATTCAAACCACACAGTTTTAAACGCCTAGTCCCACTTGAGCAGGCTGAGTGCTAGTCCCTGTCTGTAGCTGAGACAGAATGCTACGGCTAAGGCAGATTATAGGAGGGAGCGCGAGAGAGGCCGGGAGGCCTGACACAGGCGTAGCAACACGGCTGAGAGACCACAGCCTCAACCAAAAGCGTGCAGCAGAGAGTGAAGGAATTAAGCCAATGAGGCTGTGAATTTGAGAGAACAAAGAGGCAGGAGCATGAGAGGGACTGGAGGGCGGGGAGGTGATGCAGTTGTAGTTAAATCTCAAAAAACTTGAAGAGAGAAACAGGGCGGAGATGAGTGACCTGAGGCGAGCGTAGTACTTCTGGGGCGCAGTGGGTGAGGTCATTCTCACAGCTGGGACGCACGCGGTGGGTGAGGTCATTCTCACAGCTGGGGCGCACGCGGTGGGTGAGGTCATTCTTACAGCTGGGAGCAAACTTGTTTTTATAAAAAATTTTAAAAATGGCATCCCCCAGCTTCGTCTCCTACCATACTGACTAGACAAGACCTGGGGTCTCCTGGCTGACAGACAGATGACACGGAGGGAAGGAGAACTGTGACGAAAGCGCAGTGGGGTCTGCATGGGAGCCAGGAGCCAGCGCTGCCTGTACATTATTGTCAGATCATGAGGAGAGTTAAATCATGAAATACGGAGCACACCAACCTTTGTGTGTGTGTGTGTGCGCGTGCGCGTGTGTGTTTGTGACTGTGTTCGCATGCATGCAAGTATGCAGGAGAGAAGAGGCATGTTGTACACATACACATAAATTTAAAAATAATAAAAAATAGCCAATTGTTGTGGCGCACTTCTTTAATCCCAGGACGAGGGAGGGCAGGCAGATCTCTGAGTTCAAGGCCAACCTGGTCTACACAGTGAATTCCAAGATAGTCAGAGCTACACAATAGGACCCTCTCTTAGAAAACCAAAAATAAGCTGGCTGGTGGTGGCTCACACTGATCCCAGAGGCAGGGGGATCTCTATGAATTCAAGGCCAGCCTGGTCTACAGAGTGAGTTCCAGAACTGGCTCCGATCCATAGCTACAGAGAAATCCTATCTCAGAAAACCAAAAAAAAAAAAAAAGCCGGGCGATGGTGGTGCACACCTTTAATCCCAGCACTCGGGAGGCAGAGGCAGGCGGATCTCTGTGAGTTCGAGACCAGCCTGGTCTACAGAGCTAGTTCCAGGACAGGCTCCAAAGCCACAGAGAAACCCTGTCTCGGGGAAAAAAAAAAAAAAGGAAAAGGAAAAAAGAAAGAAGGGGGCTGGAGAGATGGCTCATGGCTCAGAGGTTAAGAGCACTGGCTGAGTTCAATTCCCAACAACCACATGGTGGCTCACAACCATCTGTAATGAGATCTGGTGCCCTCTTCTGACCTGCAGACATCCACGCAGACAGAATACTGTATACATAATAAATAAATCTTAAAAAAAAAAAAAAAGAAAGAAAACCAGGCTGGGTAGCACATACCTGTAATCCCAGCTACTTATAAAGGTGAGGCAGGAGGATCAAGAGTGCAGGAGCCTGGGCCCTAGAGCGCATTCAAAGTCAGAGGGAGTAATTTAGACCTTGAGTTCAGAGTGGAACAGTCGCCAGCAGTAGTCAGGCAGGCCCTTGGGTTTAATCTTTCTGAACACAGGAGAAGAAAAAGAACAGAGGGAGGGAGACACAGTTTAAAGATTAGATTCATTTTTGTTATTCTGTTTTGTTCAGGCTAGTATTAAGTTGAATTTGCAGATCCTAATTTCTTGTCACCTAAAACTAACATTGTACAAAGTATGGCTTCACCAGAAGGCAGGCTTAAGAGCAGTGCACACTCTACACAGAAAAGAAGTGTATGTTGACGTTGACAGGCATCGGGTCAGACCTGGTGTTTGAACTGTGTACAGACCCCACCCGGGAACTGCTAAGAAGAATCCTGTCCTGGGCTGGGCATGGCGGCACAGGCCTTTAATCTGCGCTCAGGGGCAGGGGCAGTCAGAACTCTGAGTTTGAGACCAGTCTACAGATCCAGTTCCAGGACAGCCAGGACTACACAAAGAAACTCTGTCTTGAAAAATAAAAATAAATAAATAAAAGATAATTTCCCAGCTGAGTGCAACTCTTGGGAGGCAGGTGGATCTCTGTGAATTTGGGGCCAGCCTGGTCTACAGAGTGAGTTCCAGGACTACACAGAGAAGCTGTTTTTTGAAAAAAAAAAAAAAAGAAAAGAAAAAAGAAAGAAAGAAAGAAAGAAAAGGAAGAAATATCATTTTCCATTCATTTCCTGCTCGTGAGGTAAAGCAGGGTTGGTCCATTGTAGCTGAGATGAAGCAAGTGCTCCCCCTCCTCTGCACGGCTGTGAGAGCAGGAAGTCAGGATGCTTGAGATGGGCCAGTGCACTGATTTAGTCCTTTAAGATACTGGGAGCATCGTGGTTTTGTTTTAGAAAAAACAATTGGCATGTGTGGTAGTACATGCATTTAATGTCACTCTCCAGGTGGAAACAGATCTCTCTGTGACGTCCCAGCCAGCCTGATCTACACAGTGAGTGTCAGGTCAACCAGGGCTGCATAGTGAGACCCTGCCCCCACCAAAGAGGAAGGGAGAGAGAGAAAAAAAAATTCCATGATATACTCAGAAACTCTCCCATTTTGATAGAAGAATGTTTTTAGAATGTTCTTTCTGTAATAGTTAACCCGAAAGTGACACCAAGCAGGCATTAAGAAATTTGGTTGATGGGGCTGGAGAGATGACTCAGAGGTTAAGAGCTTTGCCTGCTCTTCCAAAAGTCCTGAGTTCAATTCCCAGCACCCACATGGTGGCTCACAACCATCTGTAATGGGATCTGGTGCCCTCTTCTGGCCTGCAGCATACACACAGACAGAATATTGTATACATAATAAATAAATAAATATTTTAAAAAATTTGGTTGATGGGGCTGGAGAGATGGCTCAGTGGTTAAGAGCTTTGCCTGCTCTTCCAAAAGTCCTGAGTTCAATTCCCAGCACCCACATGTTCTCATCTGTAATGAGATTTGGTGCCCTCTTCTGGCCCACAGGGATACATACATGCAGGCAGAACACTGAATACATAATAAATAAATAAATCTTAAAGAGAGAGAGAGAAAGAAAAGAAAGAAATTTGGTTGAGGCTGGGCGGTATGGCACACGCCTTTAATCCCAGCGCTCAGGAGGCAGAGGCAGGTGGATCTCTGTGAGTTCGAGACCAGCCTGGTCTACAACAGCTAGCTCCAAGACAGGCTTCAAAGCTACAGAGAAACCTTGTCTCAAAAAACCAAAAAAAAAAAAAGAAAGAAAGAAAGAAAGAAAGAAAGAAAGAAAGAAAGAAAAATTTGGTTGACCTGAGTTGGGGTCCCCTAGGCAGCATGTGACTGGTGACTGGCACTCCCTGTAACTTCATCTGAGGTATATGACGCCTGAAACTCACAGGGTTCCGCCTGCCTCTCCCTCTTGCTCAGATTAAAGGCGTTCAGTACCTCAAATTGCTTGTTTGGCATTTTAAAGTAATCTATTGGGACGGGAAAGATGGCTCAACAGTTAAAAGCAGTTGTTGCTCTTGTAAAGGCCCCAGGTTCAGTTCACAGCCCCTGCATGGTGGCTCACAACCATCCATAACTCCAGTTCCAAAGGGTCTGATGTCTTCTGGCCTCTTTGGCCACTAGGTACACATGTGGTGCACAACACATGCACACAGCAGAGCCCTCTTCCACATTAAATACATCTCAACACATGCACACAGCAGAGCCCTCTTCCACATTAAATACATCTCAACACATGCACACAGCAGAGCCCTCTTCCACATTAAATACATCTCAAGAAAGAAGCAATCTCTTTCTACTTTTAACAGCGAAACTAACATTTTTCTTGGTTCTTTGGTCTACAGGCTCAGAAAAAGTGTTTGAACCAGACCTCCCCCATTCCCTCGTCCAAGACCACAGATGGCTTGAGGCCAATGCAGATCCCTGGGCTCTCAAGCACAGCACTGCCAGGTCAGGAGCCTTTGCGAAAGTTTGCCGGAGTCTGTCCCATCCTCCCAGTGCCTGAAACATGAGCTGCTGCCTCCCTCTGTCTTCACAGAGTCTTTCTTCTGAGTCTCCCTGAACTGGAATTTGCCCTGTCATCCCCTTCCTCTGTCCCCTCCCACCCAAAGCGAAGGGCGCTTCTGAGAAGGGAGAGCTCTGGGTTTGATGAGCAAGACACACAGAACCTTGTCATTAGCCCCATGTCGCGATGTGCATGCGTGTTCAGAAGCCCCACCCCCAAACTGGAGACCTGTAGGTTGCATCCTGTCTTATGGTGCTTAACCGTAGCTGCTCCACTCCTCTCGTGCTAAGGCAAAGCAGCCTTTGCCCACAGCTGTGCGCATAGTAACCGTTCTTGCCAGCTCAGTGCATAATCAAATATAGGAGCTTGAGCATCCTTCAGAATCCCCTCTGGGCCTCCTTCCTGCAGGTGTAATTTGGAGTTCTGAAGTACTGACTGCAGGCTGAGGCCTCGTTCTCAGACCACAGACACTGGGAACTACATATGCATGTGCAGTTCTGTTTATTCTCGTAGATTAAGTTGCTCTATTGATTCCTACTCAGAGTTGAATAGCACCTATCTCTGCCTCCATAGCTGATAGATCAGAGTGTCCTGCTCCCTTCCTCCCCACAGGTTTTATCAAGAAATCCCTTTTAGGCTGGGGGTGGTGTCCACACCTCTAATCCCAGCACTCTGGAGGCAGAAGCAGGGTAATCACTGCACAGTCAAGACCAGTCTGGTCTACTTAGCAAGTTTCAGGTCAGCCAGGGCTATAAAGTGAGACCTTGCCTCAAAATAAGAAAAAAGAAAGAAGAAAGAAGCCCTTTCATGCACATGCTGGACCTGACTGTCCTCTGCGTTCATCCTAATAGGACAGGATTCTGGAAGCAAAATGATGCCAGCATCCTTGGGGACTACACAGCCACAGCAGGAAAACTCGGTTGGATCATCCCCTAGCCAGACGACTGTGCAGGTAGGCGACCTTCTGGTGTTTGCGTGCCCTCGCGGCTTTAAAGGAATGAGTGTACAGTCTCCAGAGGCACTGTGCACACAGCTAGTCTCCAAGTGCTGCAACACCACACTGAAGGTTTCCCAGGAGGCCAGGCTGGCCACATTCATGTTTCCAGAATGAATCTTTCTTAGCTGTTCCTGACATGTTGCCGGTGCCTCATGAATCCACCATAGTCAAGGCCCTGGAGTGTGTGCAAGGCCCTGGGATTGATCTTCAGAAGTGCTGCATGCACGCCCACACACACACACACCGGCAGCCAACATATGCTAGACACTTAAAAAGCTGCACTTGTAGGGTTGGGATTGTAGTTCTTTTGTCATTCATGGGACAAAATACTTGACAAAGCAACTTAAGGGTGGAAGGGGTTTGGGGCTCACACTTTGAAAGCACAGTCCCTTGGGGAAGAATGTCGTCGTAGCGGAGTGTAAAGGAGTGTGAAAGAGTTGTTTCTGCGGTCAGGAAACAGGGCGATTGCTGGTGCTCGGCTCCCGTCCTCCTCATTCATCCAGAACCCTAGGCCATGGGGCAGGGCCTGCCCTCACACCTCAGCCCGGTCTCCTCACTCCCTCCCACATGTGCCGAGAGGTTTCTTTCCAGAGGGATGTTAGATCCTCTCCAGTTAACAGTTGAGAGTGACCATTACAGGGATGTCACTCAGTAGCTAGCGTTTGCACAAGGGCCCCAACACTGCACAGAGGGGAAATCACAACAGTCTTGTCAGAGGTGGTTCTGTCCCCACAAATCTATGAGTTCCAGGGCAGCCAGGGTTCATAGCAAGACTCAGAAACCAAGCAAAGTGGGTCTGTTCATGGCGAACATGGAGATTTGTTTTGTTCTGTTTGTATATGAGGATCAACTATGAATCCGTGAAACAGCTGTTTCCCTGGTCCTTTGACTCATCTTGTACCTGTAAATCTCAAGGCTTTTCAAACTACTGGTCTCATGAAGGAAGGGAAGCTGTTTTGTGTCTAGCTCTCTAAGGCCTTGGTTTATTCCCCAAAGCTGCTGGAAGCTGCTGTGCTGTACAGCTTCCTGTAGACTTAGCCCTGGTGCTCTTGGCTACAAAGAAGCTGGCCACGCTGGCTTGTTTGGGTTTTTAGCAGGACACATTTCAAAGTCTTATTTGTTGATAGATAACAGGAAGCTCTTGGAGCACAACAGCCTTGATCTCTAGATCTGTTTTGTGACTTTTCCTGTGGTTTATTTTAGGTGGATGGTCATTCAGGACAGAAGAGGCCCGCCACCAAACAGCTGACTAAAGGAGCTTTGTAAGTCATGCTTCTAAAGGAAAACTTCTCGGGTTTTCTCAGGGTATCTTAGGGTCCCTTGTTTTCTCTAAATACACCCCCACACCCTACTATAATGGTGAGTCTGTTATTGTTAGCCTTTCTAAATGGGCTTTGAAGGACTCACACCTTGAATCCCAGCATGTGGTCTCTGGGTTTCTGTAAGTTAAAGGCCAACCTGGTCTCCACAGTGAGCTCTAGACCAGCCTGGTCCTCACAGTGAGCTCTAGACCAGCCTGGTCCTCACAGTGAGAGCTGGAGAGATCAAAGTGCTTGCTCTGCAAGCATGAAGATGAGGGTTCACTCTCTGACCCGTGTAAACCAAGCCAGTCACAGCAGCCAGCCCTCTGATCCCAGACTGGGAGGCAAAGCCAGGTGGACCCCTGGGAATCTCTGGCTGGCCAGCTTAGCCTGCTTAGCCAGCTGTTGGCAACTGAGAGAACCAGTCTCAAAAAGGCAAGGTCAGGGCCCCATGAGATGTCTCAGCAAGGGAAAGGTGCTTGTCACCACACCTGGTGGTCTGAGTTTGGTCTCTAGAGCCCACACAGCAGAAAGAGAGATGTGAGGTTGTCCTCTGACCTCTGCCTGTGTGCCTGGATGCGTGTGCACACTTACACCAGGGGGTGGGGCATGTTGATTACTTTGAAAATCATTTCCTACAGTTTGCTTTCGTCAGAGTCAGTAAACAGATCAGATGAAGTACACTGTTTGCTCTTTTTGCTCTGAGCAACCGCACTCTGATCCTGGTGCACACGTTGTGTTTCTGAGGTTAGGGTCATAGAAATAGTGTACAGGATACAGGTGAAGAAAATGCATAGCCACTGTACTATAGAAATGGCTTTGCTGCCGGGCAGTGGTGGCGCATGCCTTTAATCCCAGCACTCGGGAGGCAGAGGCAGGTGGATCTCTGTGACTTCAAGGCCAGCCTGATCTGTAAGAGCTAGTTCCAGGACAGCTAAGGCTGTTACACAGAGAAATACTGTCTTGGGATAAAAAAAAAAGAAAAGGAAGGAAGGAAGGAAGGAAGGAAGGAAAGAACTAGCATTGCTAATAAATGGTTTGACTAATGCTCTCCTGATGTGACCTCACCTGAACCCGCTGTCTCCTCTGAAAGCATCCTCCAACAGTTGCAGAGGGACCAAGCCCATGCCGTGACCCCTGACAAAAGCCAGTTCCAATCACTAAGTGACACAGTGCAGAGACTGCTGTCCTACCACGTGTGCCAGGGCTCCATGCCCACGGAGGAAGACCTGCGGAAAGGTGAGCCGCCGCTGCCCACCCACAGCACCCCTGTCGGTAGCCCAGTGGCTCTTGCCACGGTGTAGCTTGTTTGCTGTGTACTCAGTGCCCCAGCCCCTGGGTAGGGCTGTGACTGGTCCAAAGGGGCGCACGGTGAGGCTGCTGGCTATAAATGAGGTGGCTTTCTTCCAGGTACTTTGCAGTGCACATGAACTTGACTCTTGCCGTTGTACCAGGCCCAAGAATTAGTTACTTCCCTGAGGTCCCAAAGCAAATCTAAGTCATTGTATGGGTTTCAGGAAACTGACAAGGTTGGGGACAGGGCCCCTTCTCCAACCCAAGAACCCCACTCATTCTGGCCTGTACCTGTTGTCTTTCTAAGTCCAATTGCAGGGATTTGGTAGCACCCCACTTTCCCTCCCCCTGCCAACTCTCCATGACATCGTCTTCCTCCACTGCCACTGGTTTGGATCCAGGGCTTCTGACCTCAGAGTAAGATTCTGTCTCCAGACCCACTGGGGCTTCCGGGGAGGTCTGATGAGTGGCTTCCTGCTCAGCAGTAAAAAACTGTGAAGATTCTGAGACAGAAGGAATTGGAAAATGGGACATTTCTTGAGACTAAAAGTCAAAACCCAGAGCCACAGATCATGACCTGCAAGGGGTCATGGACTGGTTTGTGTCCCTCCCAGCCAGACAGATGGACTTTATTTATCCATCATTCTGTCCACCCTGCTTCTGAGAAGGGACAGAGCTGAGGGAACCAGTTCGTCGGCTCTGTGCAGTGCCCTTCCTTCCTGGGCTTCTTAGAGCAGTGGTAATAAGCTGTTGGTTTCCCGGGCTGTGTTAGCCTGAGTTCCTCACTGCACAGTGCAGGATGCGTGAGCAGAGAAGGCTAATCCAAGGGGGGTATCTGTAGCACGTCCTTGCTGCGGGTGGGTAGGCTGTGAGAATGAGTCCATGCCGCCAGTCTCAGGAAAACAGACCAGTCTCTCTTACTATGTTTTTCTCTTTTCAATTTTTCTTTTTTAAAGTGGACAATGAATTTGAAGAAGTTGCCACTCAGCTCCTCAAAAGGACCCAAGCGATGCTGAACAAATACCGATTCCTGCTCCTAGAAGACGCCATGGTAAAAGTGTGCTCCCAGCATGGCTGCCTGAGTGGGTCTGCCAGGCCAAGGCGCAGAGAGAGGGTTCAGGGACTTCCACACCCAGAGCATAGTTTATAAAGCAGGGATGTGTGAGGTTGGAGGACAACTTCCCAGTTAGCCATCACTGAGGGTGACAGTGGCAGAAGCCACCAACAACCATTTCTGATTTTAGAGACAGAGAGAGAGAGAGACTTAGTCTGAGCCATCTTAATAAGACTGCCTCACCAGGCACACTTTTAATCCCAACTCTCAGAGGCAGAGGCAGGCAGATCTCTGTGAGTTTGAAGCTGGCCAGGCTTACAAATTGAAACCCTAGCTCTAAAAACCAGGTCTAGCCAGGTGGTAGGGGTGGATCTCTGCCAGTTCCAGGACAGCCAGGGCTACACAGAGAAACCCTGTCTCCGGGGGGAAGGGAGGAAGCTGAGGCAGGATGATCACCCCAAGTTTGAGGCTAGCCTAGGCTACATGGGACCTTGTCTTCAAACAGCAGCAAATGTGGAGCACCAAACTCACTTCTTGGTGCTTCATTCCCTTGATCAAAGCACCCAAAGTGACTGGCTCTCTCCTCCTCAGAGAATCAACCCCTCTGCCGAGACTGTGATGATCGACAGGATGTTCAACCAGGAGGAAAGAGCTTCTCTCTCTCGGGACAAGCGTCTGGCGCTCGTGGATCCTGGTAAGAAACATGGGGTTGGGGGAGGCTAATAGTCCCTGAGCAGTGTGGCCTTTGGGGGTCTGAGTGACTCAACCTGCGGTGAATTCTGGGAAGGGAAAACCAACAGTTAATTTTTTTTGATGGTTTCCCCTATTAAACTTCAAAACCTGTTCTAGTCTTTGAGAGCTAAATTAAACCAGAGGCTTCTCCGCCTGTAAGGGAATGAAAGGCACAGTTAGGAAACCATCAGTGAGACAGGGCCCCGGGCCCGAGCCAGAAGCCCTAGTGCCCCACGCAGAGACTTTTCTCTGTCCCACCTCCTACATGCAGTCCAGAGTTTCCCCAAACCTGAGCTCCCCTCACCACCTCGTTCTTGCTTTTGTTTGCTGAGACAAGGTCTCATTGTGTAGCTCTGGCTGTCCTGGAACTCACTGTATAGTCCAAGCTGGCCTCAAGCTCACAGGGTCTATGTCTGCTGAGGTTAAAGGTGTGAGCCATTACACCCAGCTTCAAATCTGTCCTTTTTAAATTAGATTTAATTTTTTTCTCTTTTTCAGGATTTTATTTTTATTTTTAATTAGGGAGTGGGGCATGTATGTTTATGTTATGCAAGTGCGGGTATACTCAGAGGCCAGAAATGGTGTTGGATTTTTTGGGGTTGGAGTCAGAAACAGTATGACCTCCCCTGAGACAGCTGCTGGGAAACGAACTCAGGTCCTCTGGAAGAGCAGTACACACTCTTACCTACTGAGCCATCTTTCCAGACCCTTAATTTTCAGTTGTGTTTATGTGTGTGCCTGTGTGGATATGTGCACTTGAGTTATAAGGTGCCTGGAGGCCAGAGGTGTTGGGTCCCTGGAGCAGGAGTTACAGGCAGTTGTGATCCACCAAACATGGCTTCAGGAAAATGTACTCGGGTCCTCTGACCAGTAGTACATGGTCTTAACTGCTGAGCCGTATCTCCAGCCCACTCCTCTTTTTAAAGACAGGAGCCTCGCTAATATGTAGTCCTAGCTAGCTTGGGATTCACTTTGTTGATCACACTGGCCCCAAACTCCCAGCAATGGGAGGTGTAGGCAGGCAGAAAGATTACAAATTTTTAGCCACCTTGGGCTATGAGTGAAACTTTGTCTCAAACAAAAAGTACTGAGAGAGGAGGGTCCCAAAGGAAGAGAACTCCATCCTCCTGCCTCTGCCTCTGCCTCTGCCTCCATGTGCTGGGATTATAGGACCATACTACCACACTCCGCTCAAAAGCATTTTAAAATAGACCAAAAAGTCTGGGCAGTGGTGGTGCACACCTTTAACCCCAGTACTTGGAGGCAGAGGCAGGGGGATCTCTGAGTTCGAGGTCACCCTGGTCTATAAAGTGAGTTCTAGAAGAGATAGGACATAGAGAATCCCTGTCTCAAAATAAAATAAATAGAACAAGCAGTTTTCTTTTTTTAAGTTTATTTTTTAAGTTTAATTTTTCTGGTTATAGAAGTAATGTATTGTCTCTCTTTTTTAATGGTTTATTTAACTCATTTTATGTGCATTGGTGTGAAGGTGTCAGATCCCCTGGGACTGGATCTTCAGACAGTTGTGAGCTGCCATGTGGGTGCTGGGAATCGAACCCGGGTCCTCTGGAAGAGCAGTCAGTGCTCTTAACCACTGAGCCATCTCTCCAGCCCCACAAGCAGTTTTCTTTTTCTTTTTCAAAACACATTATTGTGAATATTTATGTATGGCTGTGTGGCTAGACACACCCAGGACATAGCGCCCGTGTGGGGTCACAGGAGAGCTTTTGGGTGTCACTTCTCTCCGTTCTCTGTGAGATCCATGGTTGGACTCGGGATGGCAGGTGTGCGACAAATACTTCAGCCTCTGAGCCGTCTCACCAGCCTGAGCTCTAACACTTTGTTCTGCCTTGCTTAGGTGCCCAAGTTGATCTCAAGTTCATGTGTCTAAAGCGATGCTCCTGCCTCAGTCCCGAGTAGCTGAGATTCGAAACTGCAAATCATAAACACCATAGTCCATGAAACATAAGTGTTTATACCATCTATAAAAGTTATTTGAGAATCACATGCTGGGCTGGAAAGATGGATCAGTGGTTAAGAACACTGTCTGCTCTTCCAAAGGACCCAGGTTCAATTCCCAGCAACCACATGGTGGCTCACAACCATCTGTAATGAGGTCTGGTGCCCTCTTCTGGCCTGCAGGCATACACACAGACAGAATATATGTATTATAAACAAATATCTTTTTAAAAAAAAATTTAAAAAATCAGTTAACAAAAGAAAAATGGAGGATAGGCGTGTGGCTCTCTTGGTAAATAGAGGACCTCCTTTGCATGCACAAAACCCAGGTTAAGCTTCCCACATGGAAGCTGGCCCCATAGCCTTGGCTACTTTGAGAAGATGCCCCTCATTAGATTGTTTCTGCGTGTTTCTGTGAAGTGGTCCTGTGGGGTGTGCTGGTGGGAGGATGAGCAGAGGGGAAGAGGCGCGGCCTAGGGGTTGATTAGGAGGGTTTGACATGGGCTGGTCCTCACTCTGACCATTTCATCTCTCTCTGCTCTCATTTCCAGAGGGTTTTCAGGCCGATTTCTGTTGTTCCTTCAAACTTGACGAGGCTGTACCTGAGACACCACTTGACAGGAGTGACCAGCATCGCAGCAAAACCAGCTCGCTCCATCAGGCGCCCAGGGCCCAAAGCAGAGACCGAGCCAAGCCAGGCATGGCAGAAGCAACGAATCATGACCAGTTTCATCTAGTGCCTAACCACATCGTGGTCTCTGCGGAGGGAAACGTTTTGAAAAAGTCGGAAGGCCACGGTAGAACACTGAAATATGACAGAGGGAGCTTAGGCCAATACCGGGGTGTACCTGAGGACAAGGGCAGCCGGAGGGACCCTGCCAATGCCAGCGGGTGCTCTCCAGGCCCCGATGGCCACCGCAAGACTATGGCCAGGCCGGATCATGACGCCGAGAGCAAGCTCCCGGGCATCCTGGCCAGCTCGCACCTGGAGATGCCGTGCCTCGACTCCTTCCAGGACAAAACCCTGAGGAATTCCCCAAAGAATGAGGTTTTACACACAGACATCATGAAAGGGTCGGGTGAGCCCCAGCCGGATCTCCAGCTCACCAAGAGCCTAGAGAAAACCTTTAAGAACATTCTGGAGCTCAAGAAGGCGGGGCGGCCACAGAGTGACCCCGCAGCCAGCGGCGCCGTGGACCTTGACTTCCCCAGCTTTTCTCCAATGGCTTCGCAAGAAAACTGCCTGGAAAAGTTCATGCCGGACCACAGTGAAGGCGTCGTGGAGACGGACTCCATTTTAGAAGCAGCTGTAAATAGTATCCTTGAGTGTTAGTAGCAGCCGCCCTCCCCGACCCCGGACCAGTTACATTCGCTCCCAGCAAAGCCAATGGAAACATCTCCTGTCTCCAGCCTGCTTGGTCCTCCGTCACAGGTTATTCTTTCTAATCTCCACCCTGTTCTTTTGAAGAGCAATACACGTCGTCGTGGCTGCAGGGAGACCCTCAGTCAACCCATCTCGCTAGAAAGCAGTCCGATAGGCACCACACATTTCAAGTGTTCCGAAAGCGTTTATGGCCATTGTTGTTCGTTTGTTTCGTGGTTTGTTTGTTTTTAGCGCTGTCACTCGACGAGACCACAGTACACTTGACCCTGGGTAAAATTTTGACAATCATAGGTCATTTCAAAAGAACAGACTTATTAAAGAAAAATCAAACAGGACTTATAGAAGCTACTTTTTTACAGAATTCTCACTGCAGCTTCAAACTAGTGGTTTTGTTTTTGTTTGCGGGAAAGGGTATTTGTGAAGGGAAGTCGGCATGACTTTCCCCAGGGCTCAGTGCTCTCTGAGCAGTGGGTAGCCAGTTGCTCTGCCTGGAACCCCACAGCCCTGGCCCAGACGTCCATAGCATCTACGCAGACCGTTTGTAGGCCTGCCTTCCCTGCCGAACAGCCGAGTGTTTACGTCACGCTGCTGCTGAGGAAGCAAAACTTTGTTTTTCTTTTTTAATTTTAGCGTGTCCATGTTGAATTGTGTCTGAGAACGCTCTGTTCTTAGCCCCAGGTATGCAGCTTGAAAGTCCACCCAAGCTCAGTAGGGAACACCGGGAACCAGTTCAAGGACAGCGGCTAGGGAGGCTGCTGGAGCCGCCAGGGTCAGTGTGCAACTTAAAAGAATTTTGCATTTTATAATCGGGTGAAGTCAACGCACCCTGTGCTTTTGATTGTTGCTGAATTCTGTTTTGCTTAACCTTTGTCTCCCTGCCCTCAGCAAACAGCCCAGCAGTGAGTGCTGTCACTGGAAACTGCTTCCTTTATCAGTTTAGACTTTGGGAGGGGACTTTAGCCTTGTTTGTGCTTCCTGTTTCTGAGACCAGTAGTCAACACTGGCATTGATCATTCCCAGCACAGAAAACCGAGGGAGGGCAGCAGCCAGATGTCACCACCAGAAAGAGGGGGACCCCCACGGGTGGCCCATGTTTGAGTTAGCAAGCCTTCCTCTTTATTTATGTCCTTTCTGGGGAAGGTTGCCCAGTTTTCTCTCCTTGTGGGCCTGGCCCAGGGCCCAGTGTTTCTGATACTTCTTGCATTCTTTACATCATGGAAACCATTGCCGAGAAAGCCAGGTCATGGTGCTCCTGCCACCCCGCCCACCTGTTTGACCCTCTGGGATCTGGAGTTTGTTTGTGTTTTTGTGAAGGTTTGCTCCCTCTGTTTGTCCCCCTGGCTGTAGAAATGCGTCCATTGGTTTCTACTTCACTAGATCCTAGAATGGAGTGGCCCCTACAGTCATCATGTTGAGCGTTTCTTTTCCAGATTGGCCTGTAATGGAAAGGAAGGCTTCTGATTTTTTCTTTTCAAACAGCAGAGCAAAAATCTAGGCATGTTGGCACACACCTGTAATCCCAGCAGTCAGGTGGCTGAACCAAGAGAGTCAGGAGTTCAAGGCCAGCTTGGGCTACATAAGTCACCCTGTCTTAAAATCAAAACAAAAGAAACTGAGCAACAGCAGACTGTGTGTCCCTTCCACCCCACTGTCCACTACAGGAAGAAGCCCTGTGAGACAGCCAGTCTTCAGCAGAGCAGTGTCCTTCTCCCAGTCCACGGCCCAGCCAATCGAATAGGAGAATCTGGGCTGTCTTAGAGTTACCTTTTTTCCTGATTTGTGCCAATGTCCAAGTTGCTGACTTCCCTCCTGTATTATAACACGTTAGAAAGATGAGTTGTTTGCCAGTTAGATTCTGTTTGGGCCACCCTGGGCTAACAGCCTGCCCTTATCCCTCTGATGTCACAGACTCTTCTCATAGCCTCCTGGTTGCCTAAGTCACGATGGCCCCTGGATGCCTGCACATGGCTACAATGAATTACAGTAATTATTGCAAATCAGTGGAATTCTTGAGACGAGCAAAGTCTCGTGTATATTTGTTACCTCTTTCTTCCTCCCGACCCCCAGCTTTTCTCTCTGTCAAATCGCAGGGCTTCTGAGCCCTCACATTGCTCCCACAATGGAAAGCCTAACGTACCAAAATGAAACTTGTAAATTTTGTGTCCTTATATGTAAGTTCGCTTTCACGGAGAAAAGACTCGAGATAATGGCAGATGAAGATTATAGAATGTGTTTTACCCTGTGATTAGGTTCCACCACGTGGGTCATAGCTCGTGTATGAGCCCCCTCTGGTGAAGGCACGCACCCTGCCTCAGTGGCCAGCCCTTGGTGGTTCAGGTTCATTAGTCAGTTGAGTCGTCGCGCTCAGTAACAAAAATCACCTTTTCTTCCCTTTGTTATTAATCTGTTTGTTGTTGTGGCAAAGTATGGATTTGTTATTACGCATTGATTTTCTGTGTCCTTAAGTACTGCCTAAAGATGAAGCAAAATTGGAACTGGCAATTACGAGAAGGAAATCCTTTAGCTCTGCAGAACTTAGTAGACTCTGTTAGGTTAGGGAGGCCTCACAGGCTGGCTGGCTCAGAGGACGGTCACTCGCTGTCAGTGTGGTGTGGGCTTTATTTGCTTAAATACCTTCATTTGTATAGTACGTCTCACTTGAAATTGCTTTGTATACATTTTGTAAAAATATTTATAAAACGTTTTGTAAAAAAAAAAAGTATAACAAATTGCAGTTTATTTTGTTATGTTGGATAAATACTGTTAAAGCAGTCAGTACCTATATTGTTAATCCATGGTTAGGAAATGTTCAGTTGGAGATCACAAAATGAAACAAGCATTGCAATACAGCCAAAGATTTGGGAAAATGTGTAACTGTGATTGTCGTGATTTTGCTGCAACTAGGAACGGCTCCTGTTCCCAGAAGAGGGTAAGTGTCCAGTGGGAATTCTGTGTATGTTTAACATGATCGAAAAAGCCTGCGGAGAGAGGACAGGATCTCAGCTGGTCTCTTCTCCACAGATTAAACACACTTGGCAAGTGAAGTTGGTCACGTACTGTGTGGTTACAGTCTACCCTGAGGTCATGTTTCTCTGCATGGCAAATGTATGTGTGTACTCAGCGTCACACCATGGCTCCTGGTCAGCCCCTTTGCATCAGGCATCGCCCCAGAAACGAGGCTTTGGAAAGGAAGACTAGAGGCTGGAGAGACACTCAGCGGTTTAAAGCACTGGCTGCTCCTCCAGAGGCCCCCAGTTCAATTCGAAGCACCTGTGTTGGGTAGTGCACGCTCATTTGTGACTCCAGCTGTAGGGATTTGATGCTGTCTAACCACAGGCACTATACACACGTACACACACAGACGAGTAAATAAAAACAAACGTTAGAGCATGTTGACACGGGTTTAACCTCCACAGGCACTATATACACGTGCACACACATAAATAAAAACAGACCGTTAAAGCCAGGCAGTGGTGGTGCACACCTTTAGTCCCAGCACTTGGGAGGCAGAGGCAGGCGGATCTTTGTAAGTTTGAGACCAGCCAGGTCTACAGAGCAAGTTCAAGCCAACAACAACAACAAAATATTTAGAAATTAATAATACAGAACTAAAGAGAGGGCTCAACAAATATAAGCACTGGCTGCTCTTCCGGAGGACCTGGGTTTGCTCCCAGCACCCACATGGTGACTCACAGCTGCCTGGAACTACAATTCCAAGGCATCCAACCCCTCTTCTGGCCGGCCTCCAAGGACACCAGACAACATGCTATACAGACATACACATAGGCAAAAACTCATAATAAACTTAAAATAATTTTTTAAAGAAAATAATATGGAGCAGGGGCACTGGAGAGATGGCTCAGAGACTGTTCTTTCAGAGGTCCAGAGTTCAATTCCCAGCTCCCACATAGGAGCTCACTACTATCTATAAAGAGATTTGGTGCCCTCTTTTGGCAAGTGAGCATACATGCAGGCAGAACAGTGAATGATAAATAAATAAATCTAAAAGAGGGAAGAAAGATCTGGGTGGTGGTAGTGGCACACACCTTTATCTCAGCACTCAGTAGGCAGAGGTAGGTGGATCTCTGTGAGTTTGAAGAAAACCTGGTCCACGGAGTTCCAAGACAGCCAGGGCTACACAGAGAAACCCTGTCTCAAAAAAAAAAAGAAAGAAAGAAAGAAAGAAAAAGAAAATACTATGGATTTTGAGAGCTAATTCAGTGGTTAAGAGCCTGGCTGCTTTTCACAGGGCTCAGATTCAACTTCCAGCATCCATGTTGTTCACGTCGATTACTTTGGGCCCAGGGCCTCTGAGGGCATGAGTGACACACAAACATGCATACAAAACAACCATAACGTAAATAAAATCAAAATAATAATTGTTATGGCCAGGTAACCAACAAGGATACCGAGTCCTGTATGTAAAAGCAAAGAACCTTTTTTCTTATTCAAGTTCGAACTTGGACTCTCTATGTGTCCCGCGCATTGGCGCGATCAGAGAGCCCCGGAAGCAGCTGGAGTTGGGTTTTTATATAACAACAGAGGTCGGGGGTGAGGGATTTTTTTAGGTTCAGGACCCTGATTGGCTGACATTTGTCTAGGGCTGTCTTGGTGAAAGGGGATGGGTGTGTGCTGGGCTTTGTACTGTTAGGTATTTTCTCTCGGAAGATCCTTCCCTGGGTGGTCTTTCTTGGAACCAGGTACAGCCATAGGGTAAATGGAAGCCAGGCCTCTCTTGACCTTGTCATGGCTGTGCCCTAGAATAATAATGTCGTAAATTTTAAAAAGGATGTCTTTTCTTTTTTTTTTTTTTTTTTTTTTTTTTTAGGATGTCTTTTCTGATTGCTCAGTTAGGGCCAATGTCTCTGCATCCCCTTGGGGCATGCCCACCACAAATCAGGGCTTCAGTTGAGGTAGTGAAAGCTTCAGTATGGCAGGGGAGTCACGTGCCAAAAAATGGCATCCCAGCACTTCCTGAGACAGAGACAGCAGCGAGAGAGCTAGCTAGCTAGCTAGCTACGGGGATGGAACCTTCCTCTACAGCTGGGGACCCTGGCACAGTAGGGAGTAGTACCTGGGTGTAAAGTTTTTCCAGCCTGACAAGCCTCTCTGCAGATGCAATAATCCAAATCAGACCAAATCAAACCGAATGGGAAAAAGCCCAGGTTGAATGGATGCCAACACTCCCAGGTGGCCCTCTGGGAAAACATGGAGAGGTAGGGAGAGAAGAACTGGAAAGACCATGTGTTCCTTCTGGGGGGGGGGGCAGTTTAAATAGCCTGTGGGAGTGGTCTTGACCCTCTCTGGGGAGAGGGCTCACCTTTTGGCAGGCTTTCTAGGAGATAGAGTCTGGACTGAGGTAACTCGCAGGGGAGGGGGCTTGAAATGGAGCTTTCCACCCAACTTTCCAAAATGGGTGTCAGAGGCTGGGGTGATGCTTCCAACCAATCCCAGACATTTTGGGTAAGGATGTTAGGGGCTGAGGTGACACTTTCAACCAAACACTGAGCTCCAGAGTGTGTCTATGCCTCCCCTCTGTGTTTTCTTCTAGGCAGAATTAGGGCTTCTCTGTCCACCTGGAGAGGAGAGAGTTAACCAGCACTCATTTCTGGAGCAGCTCATCACAGCAGACTCTATCTGTTACAGCTCTGGGGGGGGGGGGGGGATCCTGGCAGTTGGGAGCCAGGGGATACCACACAGTCACACTGCACAACAAACCTTACACAGATTTAATAGAGAAGACACAAGAGGGTGGCTGCCTCTGCTTAGGAGAGAAACAGAAATACTGGACAACAGGCAGGCTTTATATAGGGCTTCTCGGAGGCAAAGGTTTCCAGGGTGGAGATGTCTAGGGCAGGGATTATGGGTTTTCACGTTCCTTTTTTTTTTTTTTTTGCCTGTCCTGGAACTAGCTCTGTAGACCAGGCTGGTCTTGAACTCCCAGAGATCCGCCTGCCTCTGCCTCCCAAGTGCTGGGATTAAAGGCGTGCGCCACCATCGCCCGGCTGAGTTTTCACGTTCTGAGCTTGGGCATTTGCTCTGTAGGACAGAATTTGGATGCCTGTGTCTCAGGGGCTGGGGATGTTGGTTTTGTCCATTGCACTGTTCTGTGGGGAGACCCTGGCAGCTGGAGCTCCTAGGGGACTGGACCTGCTCTTACAGTCCTCCTTTTTTGTTTATTACTGATAAACAGTCAGGGATTGGAAAGGGTGGGGTGGTGTTATCATTAGACTATTTCATGTTGAATGGGGCAGGCTTGATCTTCACTGTCCAGTATAATCGGAGTGGCAGGTGTGTATCTCCATAGCTAAAGTTCAGTAACCCTGTAATAACAATGGATTAAAAGACTGGTTAGAGCTGGTAATCCCGGCACATGGGAGGCAGAGGTCACCAGATCTCTGTGAGTTCAAAGCCAGCATGGTCTACAAACGGAGTTCCAGGACAGCCAGGCACAGAGAAACCCGGCCTCTATAGCCAACAACAGCAAACAAATTGTAATCGTTAGTGTTGGAAGGAGGCCACTTGTTCTTCCTGGCCACCTGGCTAGCTTAGACCCAAAATAATCACACAGAAACTCTATTAATTAAATCACTGCTTAGCCCATTTGCTCTAGCTTCTTGTTGGCTAACTCTTACATATTAATTTAATTGATTTCTATTAATCTGTATATCACCACGAGGTCATGGCCTACCAGCAAAGTTTCAGCATCTATCTCCAGCGGCGGCTCCATGGCATCTCTTTACTCTGCCTTCCTTCTCCCATCCTATAGGCCAAGCCAGTTTTCTTTATTCATTAGCCAATAAAATCAACACATAACAGAAGGACCTCCCACACCATTTCCCCTTTTCTGTTTAAACAAAAAGGAAGGCTTTAACTTTAACATAGTATAATCACATATAACAAAACAGGTATTAAACAAGAACTACAGTTACAATATTTATATCTATTTCATCTTTTATCATAATTAAGGAAAACTATAACTATAACCATTTATTCTTCAACTCCATCAAGGACCCCAGAAGGATATAATATTACCTAAGTAAACATGAAATTCATTGTAAACAACTTCCAAAACTCTAGAATTGACAGAGACATCTCGCTGCCTGTACAGTCACCCAAAGTTCTTCTGTACCTTTGGGGCATCCATCTTCAGCCTACAGGCCCATAGTATCCAGCAGACTTTCCGGTGAAGCAGAACATTTCAAAGACAGTTCCTACTATATTGGCAGCTTATCAGTCACTTTTTCTATCTGTCCTGCAGAATGTCTAGCAAACTCTTTTTTTTTTTTTTTTTTTTTGAGACAGGGTTTCTCTGTAGCTTGGGAGCCTGTCCTGGAACTCGCTCTGTAGACCAGGCTGGCCTTGAACTCACAAAGATCAGTCTGTCTCTGCCCCCCCCCCCCCCGAGTGCTGGGATTAAAGGCGTGCGCCACCACCGCCCAGCGTCTCAAGGACTCTTTCATGAAGCAGGAACCCAGAAGGATCATCTCACCTTTAGGCAAATTCAGCAGTCATTTCTCTGCGGGTCCTGCATGTCCAGTTCATGAAGCAGTCCAGGCAAGAGCAGTTTCTTGCCCAAATGTCTAACCAACTCCATAAGGAACCTCTTTGATGCCCATCTTCCTCTTGAAGTAATTGTTGCTGCCAGGAGCAGACATGTCTCACTGTCATGAAAACTCCTAAGTTATGAAAACATTTAAATGACATATTCTGAAGATCTCTGAAAGATTTGAAGAATACCCAACTAAAATATATCTCTATATATCTAGAAAATCTAACTAACATGACTATAAGCTTGACTACTATAGATGACTATTAACCTATATTTCTTTCTTTTTTTAATATTTATTTATTTATTATGTATACA